GTTGGTCTTCAAGGTGTCTTCTTTGACTGCATTCAAGGCTAAGTCAAAGTTGTCGACTGATTCCAACAAGTCCTTGGCGAATTTTTGTAACGCAAAATCTCTAGCCTTTTGTTTTTCAAGCTTGGTGGACTCCTGTAAGTTACGGAAATCAGCAATGGCTCTTGCATAGTGATTTTTCATGTCTGCTAATTCTCTATCCTTCTTGGTTAATTTAGCCTTCAATTCGTCTATCTCGCTCACTTCAGCATTGACGCCCTCGGCTTCCTTAGCTGTCTCAGCTGCTGTTTCTGGCTCTTGAGAACCCTGAGCTTCCGCTTTATCTTCCTTACCCTCTTCCTTGGATGCTTCCGTAGAGGCAAAACGAATCATCGACATTCTTGGTGCGACCACTGTTGGTCTCACAACTCTCATCGAGTTAACACCCGAGCGAATACCTGCGGATCTTCTTAATGAGCTCAAAAACGTCCTTTGCATCTTAGTATAATTGTATTTTTTTGGAAGATTAACATCTTATTAAAGGGTCATGTTAGCCAAAAATTTTCAAGAGTCCTCGAGATTCAAATTTCTTAGGCGTTACGTAATCTGTTTTCAGATTTTTCTCACGTGACTAATTTTGCAATTTTACTAATCTAGCGTCCTAAGGGATTAATATATTCAAAAAACAAATACACCTATTAACAATTACAATAACCAGTGAATGAAATCGTTCTGGTTTGAAGACTTAAGAGAATGTTGCGGAACTAAAATGGGAAAAAAAACAGTGGAGAAGGAGAAAGAGATGAAAAAATAATTGAGCTATTGTAACTGCTTACCACGAAGATGGACCAAACCATTCACCCTCTGCTAATGGTTGTCTGATTGCAGTACTTGTCATATCCATTGTATTTCCGATAACGTTATTACCCCACCAGTTTGGTGCATTTGTTTTGGTCAAAGAAATTGTCAAAAAGATAATGACGGAGGACCAGGCCATACCAATATCTAAACCGGCAGATAAGGAATAATTGTACTTTGACCACCAATGGAACCATTTTCTCTTAATCCAGTAACCGAAGGCCAAGCCAACTGCACAATATGCTGAGTAGTTGTAAGGGGTTGCAGGAGGAATATAGCCTGTACCGGAGAAGAAAACTGGCCAGTTCAACCATCTTATCGGACTATTTGGCCATTTTTTCAAGATGAGCCAGTTCATGAGGGGCAAAAGGGCACCAATGATGAAGAAGAATAATAAACCATAATAAATCTGGCCTTGGTAGAATTGACGTTGAGGACCAATAACACCCCAGATAATACTGGCGTTGAAAAAGACTTTTCCGTTGGGACAGGTGTAGTTATTTGCCTGATCAGGTTCACACAAATTAGGGATGTTACCATATGCCCATCTTAATACGGCGACTTGAACTAAAGAGCCCCACATGCTAGCAACAAATTGTGCTGCAAATAAAAGACGAGGCGCGACCTTCATGTAATGTCCCAACTTCATGTCTTGCACGAACGTGACAGCTTGGTTATTGGTGATATACCCGTACGTTTTGAAGAACATCATTGCTAATGGCTTACCTGGAACCATGTATCCGATAATGAACTCGGTGACAACGTTTAAGCCAACAGCAATGTTAGTCAAAGCGAAAATGACACCGACTGGAAGTAAGAAGAGAATTGCGATCAAAAGGGCCACAATTAATGCGTAGACTGGCATTTCAGTATTCCAACATCTAATGGTAACTATTGATACGGCGAAAAAGACGACGAAGACAATAAGGAACCACCATTCAGGCACATCCTTATAATTTTGCCTCATCAACCTCATATGAACATCAGGCTTTTCCTTTTGCTTTAATTGTCTCATGATATCTTTCCCATGGAATAAGACAGTATGGACCAATGTTGCAAACATGGCTGCGAAGGACAAACCGTATGAGATAGCAAATGTAGTTGACAAGAAAAGAGGAGAATAATTTTCATAACTCTTCTGATTAAAACTTAAGGTGTCTTTGTTGATAATTCTTGAAACATTATAGTTACCCCCATATCTATCGTAAGAGCCTGAACTCGAAATTGGCAAGTATTGTGCATACCATGTGTTAGAATAATGTATAGCAGGGACAACAATCCAGAAAATCGTTACCATCGAAAGAAGAATTGTTGCAATAGCACTTGCTGGTGGAATTAATGGGGAACCAATATATCCTGAAATCTGATTCCAATCAAATGTAATAGGAATTAATCCCAAACCGGTATATGCCCCAAATACCTGGTTAACGATCACATTTTTTGGTGCAATCCAAGTAGGAAACGCAAACCAGGATAATGCTTGAAAAATGTAATTTGGGAACCAGTACCAAAGGAATGAACAGATACCAATTAAGGCAAAGAAATATAATCTTGAGATTTTCCAACCGTCAGCAACGTGGTTACTGTTAATGTGCAAATTAGTTAAGAAGGTAACCGTAACTAAATTTTGTGGCCAGATCATGGAAGCAGGGTACACCAAAACTCTACGAGCTAAACCACCCAATGCAAATCCAATACATTGGGTAGACCAGATTGCAAGTAAGGCGAAACCCCATCCAAAATCTTGTTCATAGAACTTATTTTGTGACAACAAAATATCAGTTGCATAAGCAGCACCACCACCAAAGGAGACGTTTGCCATGATAACAATAATAGTGTGTTCCTTGATATTAAATGGGCCTGGATTTAATGGTGCACCAAATATTTTTAGATTGGGTATGAATCTTGCCCATGCCATACCGATCGGCCAAGCAAGAAGGGAAGTAACAAGAGTAGTAAGAATGATCTGTGGAGAGTGAAGTGAGAACAATAAATTCAAAGCAGAACCAATGGTATTTAATATCATACCAAGAACCCACATTCTAATTGTATTCTGGGGTAACTCAGCATCGTCGCTGCTTGGAACAGATGCTCTAACTTCGGCGTATGGTGAATCATCTTCAACTGTAACTGCAGCATAGTCGTCATCAAGAATAACTTTCTCAAGTCGGGAAGAAACGGGGTCAAATTCCTGAGATTTTGATGCCATTAATACATCCTCTTCAGCCGACTCAATATCGTTGACGTTCTTGCTCTCGATTTCTACGCCATGATCCTTAGATAATGGGTTTTTGAGTTTCTCCATCCTTGTCAATACTCTACTGTGCTTTAACTAACCACTAAATTAGTTGAAGTAAAAACATGATTTGGGAGATGAAATGAACCGGATCTGACGATATTTATACAAACTGGGGAACATTAATGAAGAATACTTGATAAGAATTTAATCACTTAACGTGATTAGTCTGATTTCGTTTATCTTTGAATCTAGCAGCCGTGAGTTGCAATGGCCCCAGTGCATATCGAATTAAACTTTCAAGGAAGTGTGCTTCATGCATTATTCTATTGCACGGCCATAAAATAATTAATGACACTCAATTCTTATTTCAAAATTTGGTTGATTTTATTATATTTCATACGTGTATGAGCCTCCGCTTTTGGAGATGCAAGTATATTATTCTATTATTGGACAGTTTCATTGCCTGTACTCTATTATAATTCGTAATATCAGACAATATGAAGAAATTTCCCACTTCAGCCATAGGTGTGATTATCGCGGGCCGGATAAAGGAATTAACTTATCGATACTTGGGCCTTTTATGTACGGCACCAAATATATGCATTGCGCGTTGTCAGCTTGCATTATAATCATCATAGCATACGAATTATTCGAAGCACATTAGTATCCACTATCAGGGTTGCCAACCATCTTCTGCATCCTAGAATATGTGGTAAGAGATATGGACTGGTGATGCCATAAGGGCCGTTCAGTGCTAGGTGAACTAATAAGATGATACCAAACTCATTTACTGAACGGCTCCACTTCTATCTATCAACTATAATTTGATGCAGATAATGTTATATTTAGTCTGCGTCACTAATGTGATACGTACAAGGACGAAGGAGAATAAGGCTCTCAATGTTACAATTGTTTGATTGTATATAAATGCGATTATGCATAAAGGCGCATCTCGGATATAATCTTAAAAAGCGGGAAAGTAAGAATTATGGTTTTCCGAGCTCTTAGTTCGTGAAGTTCATAATAAAGTAGTTTCTTGAGTAAAATGAATTATACTATATGTTCGTCAATCAAGAGCTGAAAAGTTGAAGCAGCGAATATATAATGAATTCATTGAATATGCGGATGATTATCATCAAATACCAAATCATTTTTCGCGATTCAGAACAATAGGCTCAGTTTCTTGCTATAATTGTCTGCAATCAAATGTGGACTACAATGCAGGTAGGTATGTTGTGGATTTGGTTGCCGAGTCTACGACTTACCTGGATAACTGATACCTGTCATCAGTGGCAATCTAAGATGCAAAATGTCATCCCAAATCTTGTGATTGGGTAATTGTCCGTTATGGATTTTCGCATAAAATGTTTACTATCTCTGATCTCCATTCTATTCCATGTTTACAGGTCCTCCCTGAGGGTTTTGTCATATGTCATTAAGAGCTTTACCCAAAATCAATCGTTTCTTTTGTGGCAGAACCGCAGGCGGTAATCCTTCTACTTAACCCACATGATGCGACAATTAATTATCACAATGTCTCAAGAGTATATAATATTGTCTAATAAGACGGGCTTAAGCTCGCTTGACAAAAGATAATCTCGCCTGATGCCTCACATCCTATGAAAGGAATCTAGCGGTTTGTTTATTTTCTTCTAATATTACTCTTAAGTATTTCCTATACCCTCTCTATTATTGGTAACATATCCCTAATGCCATGAATATTAATCCTTCTTTTCATGTTTTTAATTCTACCAACCCAAAGACCTTTGATCTATTAAGTCCTAGCTCGTTCTAAATGTTTAATAAAGAATGTTACTCGGTTTTGAGCGTTGTCGCGAAATCTACTCATCTCTGAAAAATTATGGTGGAAGAGATCTTACAAGACATCACCAATTCAATACAGAAGAGACCGTAAATATTGTTCAATATGAGACAAAAGAGAGCTAAGGCTTACAAGAAACAGATGAATGTATACTTACATACATTCAAGTTTAGAGAACCTTTTCAAACTATCGTTGACGATGAAATAATTTTGAATTGTGAAAAGGCATCCTTTGATATTGCTAAGGGATTAAATCGTACCATACAAGGGGAAACAAAACCAATGATAACGCAATGTTCGATTGAGGCATTGTATAAGACGAATAATCAAGATGCGATTAGTATTGCTAAGCTGTTTGAAAGAAGACGTTGTAACCATCCACCTGCCAATCCTATCCCATCATCAGAATGTATTAAATCTATCGTCGATATTAATGGCGAGAATAAGCATAGATACTTAGTAGCTACACAAGATAAGCTGTTGAGAAACAAATTGAGCAGGGTTCCTGGTGTACCCTTGATTTATATGAATAGGTCTGTAATGGTCATGGAACCTATGTCTGAGGCCACTACAAGCTATTCTAATTCTGTTGAACGTAAAAAGTTAACTGGTGGCTTGAACGATCTGAAAGTTGGGAAAGTTGATAAGCAAGAAAAGCCTAAAACTGAGGGAACAGAAGATGCTCCTACGAAAAAAAGAAAGGGTCCAAAAGAACCAAATCCTCTTAGCATGAAGAAAAAGAAAACTGCCGACACAGACACCAAGTCCAACCAAGATAGCAAAGATAATTCGGAGCCAAAAACAAAAAGAAGAAGAAAGCATAAGAGTGCTTCTGAAAGGACAGCAGTTTCAGAGGAGTGTAATGCCAACCTTTCAAATTCATCTGAATCTGATAAAGTCAACCAAGAATAGACTTATACATCGTCATTAAATTACTGTATCATACAATTTCATTAAAATACAAATATAAATACAAATATAAAATTATTCTTATGTAGTTGTGAAACTAATTGTTTCACACTTATGCTTCTTTGGATTCTTCAGGTTCCGACTCACCTAATAAATTAAAACGATTATTTTGGCCGTTCATTGATATTTCTGATACAATGGATTCATCATTTACTTTCGGCGCATGTGCATTTTTTTCGTCAATTTTTAGAATGTAATTAGCTGTATCATCAAGTAAACATAATTTACAATCAAAAGCTAAAGATTTTTCTCTTAAGACTTTGCGGAATGACTTCATCAACAAATACAAATCATTTTCACCCTTTATATCTATAGTTTGGAAATTTCTCTTCGAATAAAATACATATGTCGATTCTTTCATCCACTGTAAGGTAGGATCTTCTATCCTAAATGAATCAACCACACTATTCAATTCCTTATCTAATTCATCTCTAACAATTCCAAAAAATACATCTTGAATTATTAAGGCATTGAATAAAGCATCGTCTATATCTTTTTGCTTTAATCTATCAGCTTTTGATGCTTCCAATAAAATTTCCTGTTTATGCAAAACTGCCTTGTTTATTGTAAGTTCTGGTAATTCGGTTGATTCCGTTATGACAACAAATACAGATTGGTTTGATCCTGACTCCTGTTGCTCCGTATATAATTTGTAGCTGGAAGCTAGATCTTCTATAAACGCTCTTTGAGGGGTTGTCATAGGTGGAAACTGGTGTAATCTTTTATCAAATGTTAGTGCACCTTCAATTTCAGACTTATTATTTTGATAACCTACGATAAAATTCCGTAAGATACTTTCGATTCGTGCACACCAAGTTGTTTGTCTTTCATATACGTTCATTAAATTTTCCAGATAAGGTATATCGGACAAGAGTGATGACTCGTCATCCGATAAATCCAACGCTTCTCTCAATTCAATATCTTTCTTCTTTTTCTCACATTCTTCGTCACATTCTAAAATAGTGCCTATTTTGGTATCCTCGTCCAAGGAACTGCCACATGGAACTGATCTCACTATGCGTCCACAAATGCAAGAGATTGTAACAGGATCAGAACAAATTGTTGCATCGCATCTCGACGATTTTCCAGTTTTATTATAATGACATTTTAAATGACAATAATGAGGGCATGTATTTCTTCTCTTACGGCAAGCTGACTGGCATAATGTTGAGGAAGCATGCGTATTTCTCTTTGTACAATCACTAGAGCATACCCTCATACATGGATGACCACAATTCTTCAGAACCTTACAAACTGTACCACAAGAGACATTTTTCTGAGAACACAAGATATTTGGAATATCACTCTTCGTACCACATTCACATTCCTTCGACACCAATTTAGTACATTTTGGGCAGTCAACGGTATCATTATGACATTCGTGCGGTTCAGGTTTATGTCCACATTCTTTTTCTCTTACGCATTGATAATGACAATTGATTTTGGTGCCGCATCGAACTGGGGCAGGAATTACGGTTTTACCACAGTGACAAACTAGATCCTCATTTGATGACTCCAAGCATACTCCACAAGATCCACTATGGCATAAAGCTTCACAATAATGTTCTCCGCACAGCTTCAACCTATTACAAGTACGTGTGCAAATGTGTATTGGCTCCATCGTCATTAATTCTTCATCATTATTAAAATTTGAACGAACTCTATTTCTAATGGCCTTCTTCTTAACTCTTTCACGCTTAAGAGCAATTTGCTCATAAGGACAACACACTTCCTTATGAACATGTTTCCGGCAGTTGAGCAAAACGGGGCACCTATGATTACATTTTGGTTTGTAACCTTGTTGAAGAAATTGGCATGGAACTAAATAGGAATAGTTTTCACATGAGCATTTTTCCTCTATAATATTGTAGCAAATACATTCACCAGAATGACATTTTAACAAACACTTACAACCACATTCAAGAGTCTTGCCACATACTGATTCACATTCTGGGACTGGATCGGTACATTTTGTTCTGCTAGAGGAATCAACAACTGTCTTTCCACAGTAACAGGTATTGATATTAGATGGTGAGAAATCACATACTTTGGTAGTTGTAGGTAACGGTTGACATTTAATCTCTTCAAAATGAATAGCGCAATCGTAATAAACAGATGTCACATTAGAACATTGGCTTTCACCAATCCACTTCAGATCTCCGGATAGTGTGGTACAATTCATTGGTGCACGGTTATAACATTTGATATCCATTTCCTCTTTGCCACAGTAACATTTCGCTTTAACAATTTCTTGACATTGGCCACAGAAACCCAGATGACATTCACCAATTGCACATTTATGGCCTAGATTACAAACGACAGTTTCACAAGGAGAGTCACATCTCCAACTATGTTCATAAGGAGTAATTAAGCACGGTAATTGTCTTTCGAACTTACCACACTTACATTTCATAACTGGTCCGATTGCACCACAAACTGGATGTTTGCCTGGGTGGCAAACGGAACTACAATTGTGAATACAGTTAGAATATGGCTCGTTGCACGGGTTACCACAACTGAATGGACTCAAAGGATTTGGTTCCGGGTTGGTCGTTTTTCCACACCAGCAAGAGAACTTCCTAGGTATTTTCTTCGTTTCCACATTACAAGAAGGACACTTCCAAGTTTTTCTCGACTGATCTTTTGATGACCCTCTAATTGCCCAATCTTTGATACACTCTAAGTCATACACACGATAGCAGTTATCACAAGACCAGACTTTTGAGAAGGGATCTATTTCAGATATGCATACCAAGCATGTGTATGTCCCTTCTTGAATCTCATGCATAATGGTTGTGGATAACGACTCATCATTTTCTTCAAGCTCATATTCATCTGACGATGACGTATAATCGGGGTCATCTGTATCTTCTAGTGACTCCAATCCATCATCTGAACCATTTTGCTGCGTATGAATATTTTGCAGACTGACCCCATTGGATACAGAATTTAATATATTCCTTTCTTCATCAAGGTCTGGTGTTACTCGAGACAGCAGCTCTTGAGATGTAACTTTTTCTTCCATATCACAAAAGTATTCAAGTATTTACAATCTATCTAAGGAACTCTAAATCAAAAATCTATGTGAAAAAAAATGAACCTTTATATTTTTTATAATGACACAAAAAGTAACTATCAGATCATAAATAGCTTCCGGTAAAGACTTAAAAATTCATTAAATGCACTATAAGAAGAAAATGAAAAGATTGACCAAACCATCTAATATACAACAATCATAAAAGAAACGTGTAATATCTAAATTAAATCAGAAAAATATATACTGCAATAATGGTTGTAAATTTGTACCAGAATAACAACTTTGATGCCTATTATTGCCTTAGAATCAAAAAGAATGTAGATGCATTGAATAATTCATTCCAGGGTATGAATTTCAATTATCCAATCTTGACACTTCTTCTTTTGAAAAAGTCCATGACTTTTCTGGCGGCACTGGCTTCTTTTCCATTATTAGAAATATGAGCGGTACCACTATTATTTGATTTTTTAGAAGTTGACGACTTACCGGATGAATTAGAGACATTTCGCTTTTGGTCCTGAGGTTGTGCCGGAATGTTCTGTTCCAATGATGGTTCCAAAATCCTCTTACCACTATGAGAAGCATTACTAGTAGGAGCTTGCTGCAACGCAACATTTGTAGATGACGATCCATTATAATTACTATAGAACGATAGCAAACTGAATCTATTACGCTTCTTATTGTCCTTAAGCTCTTTTGCAGAAGATTTGTTTATTTCTCTTGGGGTATCCTTTTTGGTATTGGTTGTTTTTCTGTCAAGATTTTCTTTTTCCTGTTCATCAATAGCGTTAGCATGTTCCCTCTTAATTAATTGCTCGTCTAAAGAAACCACTGGCTCGTCCTTAGTTGTCTGTGATACAGGTTCCGCAGGTTGTGCTTCAAGCGTATGTTTTGGTTCTTTAATTTCCAGCGTTGTGTTACCCTGTTGGTAGGTACGATCTTGTGAGTGTGATACTTTCGGTTCCTCTGGAGCTTCAGAAATCGATTCTTTTTCTAATGCCAAATCTGCAACTTTATTTTCATCCATTTGGTCGGCGACATTTACAAAAGGATGTTCGGCCGTTATAGGGTGTTCGTCAGCCTCTATTTTATTATCTGCTTCAAACTGGTCCTTCATTTGTCTTTCCTCGTCATTATTAGTATGAATGATTGGTGATTCCGTTTGTCCGTCAAACATAGGCTGTTGATTTATTTGAGGGGTTATATTTGTATCCGATGCATTGTCTGTGAAAACTGGTCTATTTGATTTCACTGGACTGTGCAGCTCTGTTAATTCTAATGCATCCATTTTATCTTCCAAATAACTTAGAACAGAATTTCTTTTATTTTCATTATTATTTGCATTACTTTCGCTTGTCAAAACGCCATTAACGTGGACATGAGTAACGACAGAATTCCTTCTGGAATTTATAGATGCATTAGACCTCATGGTGGGGCTTGAGTTGTTAGTGTCAGTGAATACTGGGCTGGAGGTTTCAGAACTCGGTGATGCCTTGGTTGGGGAAGTGGACAATAACTGAGGTATTGGTAAAAGAGGCGTTGGAATTTTAATGTAATCTTGTAAAGATGAACCGTTACTACTCATTAGTGATGCAGACATCGATGACGGATGATAAGATGTTGGCCTTGGTTTCTTATTAGCGTGAGGTAACTTCGCTGATTCTCTTGATGAACTATTAGGTTTCAAATGAGTAATGTTACTGCTAGATGCAGTGTTATGGTGTGATACATTAGATTCATTATCCACGGAGGGAGGCGTAGCTGGGCTTGGCTTGGAGGGACTCTCAGCAATTGTAGAAATGGCAGATCCTGTGTAAGTTGTGGATCTCGGTAAGTGAGGACTTGGTAAATGGTTATGTTGAGCAGATTTAGTGGAAGATGTTAGCGAAATCATAGACGAAGTGGT